TCCCTTCGTCTCATCATTGTAAGGGAAAGTTACACATCTCACTTGTAATAAGACTAAGCATCCAACATGAAGCGTGACGTTATCTTTGATGATCCTGGGGCAGTCTTTGCCAAAAAAAAACGTAATCATAACTTTAAATTCAAGAAATCGATATTATTTCATGCTAACAATGCCACTGTTCTCTCCGTTTCGTATCTATAGGCCAGTGAAAATTTTCTTAGGCTCTGTTAGTAATGCTGGAGCCTTATCTTTCCTTTTCCTTTGGCATTATGGGTAGGTGTGATAATAAGTCCTAAAGAATGCTCATTTCGAGCCTATCTTTGAGTTTTTTAAAAATAAGATAATTATTTCATTCTCCACCTCCAAAATTTGAGTGCTCTAAAATATTTTAAATTTCTTTAAGCAGCAAGGGAAACGTGGAAATATCCACCCCAGATTTTCCAAACCGTTTTCGGCTGCAAAGATTTGGCTTTAACTGGAAAATTAATTTTTTGATTCATGAGTCCCAAATTTCGGCCTAAAACAGACAATTTTTGTGGCGTGGAAAGATTTGGTTTCTGGGGATTACTCTTTTTTAAGTGAGGAGCTCGCTTTAGTGGGAGCAGTATTGTATTATAGCTTGGGGTAGGGCAAGCCTGAGGTAAGCAAGTAAAGAAGGGAAAAACCACCCAAATATTGAAAGTGTTCGAAAGATCAAACCGGGCCGGTTCGAGTTAACTCGGAACCAGTTTTGCCCTTCTTTGTTCGACCCCAAAGCTACCCTACAAAATTTATGAAGAAGATAAACTTCAATCATACATAAACTATGACGATAATGGAATTTGCATTCCAAGATTTGAAGTCTGAAGCTTCAACGAACCATTCTCAAGAAATAATAAACTACATTTTAACTTTGACTCGACTTTGTTGGTAAAACTTTGCATACGATAACCTCCGTAATATATAATAGCAAGTCTCAACTGACTTTACGGGATAGAAATGCATAGCTTAAAGTCCAGTGATTCTTTTTCTTCCGTTAACTAACTACTAACGGTGGAATTAAGTACCTAAGTACGTATATTAATTACTTCGGTTGCCGACCGGAATCCACGAATTCCACTTCATTGTTTGTCAAAATGTCCTTAATAATGTCATTTAACATTTCAAGAGACAAACAAAGTCTCACAATTTCTCGGTCAAGCGATTGCAACTAAAAGTTTAGAATGATATTTGATCTTTTTATATATTTTCTATCATTCTGCAAAGATAGGAAAGTATTTTAGCCATGAATGCTCATTTTTGCATTTTCCCATCCATTTTGGATTATCCCTAAAATATTCCTAGTCACAAATTTACTTTTCAAATCTATTATTTCATGTGTTTTGTTTAATTTTAAACATATTTTTGTATTTTTTGGTATTTTTTGTTTTTTAAACACTTTTTTCCTAACCGGTACTTGCTTGACTAGGACCGGTTGTCTGGACTGGTTTGGGGTTACCCGAGCCCAGCCCATGGCCGTGTTCCACTCCCAGTTCGTGTTTTCTGACAGTGGTAGAGATGCAAAGCCGGTCCCTATGTTGCTTGCATGTGCTGCACAATGACTAATGAAAAATAGCCAATACATTAAGGTCGTTCTTTTAAAGATAAAAGCAACACTGGTTATTGACTAAGCATGGGTCTTCACCTTATTTAACATATTCTGAAATATTTTTGCCGCTATTATTGACGAGCAATGGCTTTTAGGCCTTGAACCCCACGACAAAACAACCCAGTAATGTGATAATATATATGTCAACCTACAAAGGGAATAATCTGTCTTGATGCATTCAATTTGTACACTCTGGACGCATTGAATAGTTGTTCCAACATGCAAAAAAATAATTGTTGCATGCGTGAGTTTGGTGCAATTCTTTTATCTTATAACATGTTTGGTTTGCATGAAAATCTTTTCTAGAAAGCATTTTCACATAAAAATATCTCTTGTACAGTCAAATGTGAAAATATTTTTATGCCAATTAGTCTTATCGTATCTTTTCACACCAATTGGCAACTGATTGATGTAAAAATATTCCCACACTTGACTATATAAGAGAATTTTTCATGGGAAAATGTTTTTTAGAAAACATTTTCACGTGAATCAAACATGTCGTTAATATTCTCAAGTAGTGTACCAAGGAAAAAAAGGTACCATAGGCCCTTTGATCTGTTGGTTGAGTATTTTAGACGTATGCATTGCTCTGAATATATCCTTTATCATGACGCCAATGCGGTGATTGACCATCTTACCATACTTGGGAGTTCTTTACCATGCGTCATTCTCTAATGACCTGATCTCTGAATAAATCGCATGATGATGGGAAAAATTGGCGATAACTGCCTAACAAGTCACAACCCTGTGGTTCATTTAGTTATCATGCTTATGCATAACAGTGCATTATTATATATAAGGAAATGTAAAAACTAGATTATTTACTTTTGATTATAATCATCATTGACATTTAGATTTGAACTCTAGTGTTTTATAATGTGTCATCGTTTATATATAAAGTTCAAAATAAAACTTCTCCAATGTTGTGACATATTGTAATCTATTAAATTTCACATCCAATGGTGAAAAGTAATTGTGACCTCATACTACTAAAAAATGAATAGTCTCCTAACGTACAATCCTTTATTATAACAATTATTATTTTTTGAAAATGAATAGTCTCCTAACGTACAATCCTTTATTATAACAATTATTATTTTTTGAAATGTGCATAAAGAATGCCATTTACTTTGATGGAAAACAAAATTTAGTATAGTTGCTGATTATTGCTGTATGTATGTGGGAGAGGGAGAGGGTTTGCCATTTCAAATGTGAGAGGGAGATCTTTTTCAAATTTGAGCGTGAAGCAAGAAGCATTTCAATCCCTTGTGAATAAATGAGACTTATAGATTTTCCTTCTTTCTTATGGTGCCTCGTGTTGCAAAAAATATAAGTAAAGTACGAGACAAAAATATTTATCTTTTTTACAAGAAGGTTATAATCATGCATAGCTGTTAGACACAAAAATCAGCTATCTTAAAGTGTGATAGATCATATTAAAAAATATTTACCTTAAACATTGTGATATTCATGTGCTGACAGATTTCATGACCAATGGAGAGATTACAGTTTTTTTGTGCTAAATATAAAAGTATAAAAACTCTATGCAGGCTCGAACATAAAATTCCAATTACAATGTTGAAAGTTGAAACAAAGAGTGACCTATATTTCTATTCAAAGTCACGCGATCTTCTCTCGCAGAAAACGCATTTTCTCTCAACTTGCTTCTTCCCACTGTTTCTAACTTCTTACCTTCTACGAAGTTTAGAGCGTTGAGGCCACCCAAATTACACATCCATCACTTCATCAAAAAGTTTGAAGCCAACCAAACTAGACCAATCGCCCATCTGATCCTTCCGGTCCAACCCGCAAGTACTCCAATAGAGTTATTGCCCAAAGGTTTTTTGAAATTTCCCTATTTTTTATGTTTCTTTTTTTTCCCTATTCTTCCCATCAATTCTCTCAAGCCGATTTGATTTTTTTTGTTTTTTTTTTGAGGAGCATTAACTATTTCATTGCATCCTGTATTAGCGCCTTACATCATTACAATAGCCAATTGCCTCTTACAGCTAAACAGAAATGAAAAATTACAAGAATTCCAATAAAAAACAATTGCACGCCATTTGATCACCCTTCCAGTCTAAACACCATTGAACCCAACATCGCCTCCCACGTCCACCTTATGCCATCAGTTTTGATTATTTTGTTCTTTAGTTTATCCCTGTAGGCAGTATTTATTTAAGGTTGGGGTTTTAGTACTGCAGTTTGTGGCAACCATTCCCTCATCATTAAGACCTAAAATGTCATTAGTCAATAATGGTTTTGAGCTTCAAAAGAAGATTATTTTAAATTTAATTTTATATTATTTATTTTAATTATACACCTTTTTTTTTTTCTTGAGCGTCAAACCCATGAATCTAAAGTAAAAATGCATCTTGACTTGGGACTTCTTAATAATCATAAAAATCATTTCTCAAATAGATAATTAAGTTCACATTTACACTTGGGAAAATTACATAAAACAAAAACCCTCAAATGTAATATCGATGAAATTTACCCCTCAACTAACCTTTTACTCATTTTTTTTTCCCACAACTACCGTTTTTCGCAAATACCCCCCAATCCATAAAAATAAAAAAAAGAGACTAAACTAGCCCTCTCTCTTCGTGGCTTTTACTCATGACTCTCTCCTCGTGCTTTTTAAACACTCCGGCAATCAATTTAAACGCTCCGGCAATAAGGACAATGCACTCCGACCATTCAAAGACTCGCTCCGACAATACACCTTCTGTAGCCAAAGTGCTCTGGATAGGTCGCACCGACAATGAGGACAAGCGCTCCAGCAATGCAAGGACTTGCTCCGACAGTACACCTTCTAGAACCATAGCGTTCCGGTGGTTGAATATGTTGCTTTGGCGATGAAGACAAACGTTCCGGCAGTACATCTTCCAAAGCCACATCGTTATGACGGTTAAATTGGTCACTATGGCAATGTGCTTTTTTCGTACAGGGAAGATATTTTCTTCAAAAGAATAACAACTTTTTACGTTGAATGGGTTTTTTCAAAGAAAGGTTGTTATGAAAAAAAAGTTGGAGTACACTTGGGGGTTGTAATTTTCCCACCACTCTGTAGCGATTTTCATGGTCGTAATTTGCCATTGACTAGGCTGGGTATTGAACTATTTCGTTACGACATATTACCGCACAACATAATCATAACATCATTGACTAGTTTGGGTGTTGACTATTCCCTTTTATTTCCGGAAAAGAAACTAAGTAATCCGGCTGTGGTTCAAAATGTACACTTGCGGAACGCGTGTTTTGAAACGGAACGGCGACGTGTCAGTCCGTTTTGGCGTACTGTGAAAGTATCTTACATTCAAATTCAAATTATATTCTCACGAAAACAAGAAAATCTGTGGCACAAATTCGCTTAAGGCACGTGCCAAGACGAAACAGAGAGCAAACCTGTGGACCCCCACCTGAGGACGAGCTCATTTGGCCTTTCGGCTCCTTGTCTGTAAAAGTGGCCATCTCTCGCATGAAGCCGCAATATTTCGTCCGCTTGCCGAATATTTCGTTCGCTGATTGTCCCCTCCTCGTACCCGAAAGTTTCGGGGAGTCTCGCCACGCACTTCGCCCTATCAACGAACATAACTTCTCGGCAAAATCTCGGGCCGAGAAATAGCCTCTCAATCATCTCTCTTCCAAGCTTTTGAGTGGGCAGGCTCCACTCGAGGGAGTCGCAAATCGCCGAAGCTCCCTGCAAACACCACGAAAACCTGCTCACGAAATCCTCCGAAATTTGTCCGTGCATGTTGTTGCTGCAGTGGCCGAGAACCAGGAGCTCGGGCCTCAACTCCTTTGACCCTTCGATGAGCTTCGAGAGCTGCCATGAGTGTCTCTCGGGCATGTGCAGAAGCCTAAACATACAGTTCACTATTACAACACTCTCCTCTCCCACATCTCCCTCTTCTTCTTCTTCTTCTTCTTCTTCTTCTAATCCATCTTCCTCGTCTGAATCTATTGATTCTTTCTCATGGGAGTTTTGATATGTCGTCAGATTTTCGAGTTCGATTTCTTCCAAGGAGAAACTCAAGCCGAGATCACGAGCGAACGCATGGAGTCTCCTTGCGGTGGTTGCAGAGGTCTCACCCCATTTGATCGCAGTTACCTTGATGCTCTTGAGCTGAGAGTAACGAGCATCGGAGACCAGAGCTTCCATCAATGGCGGCCATTGCAAACCATCCATGATATCAAAGTCTATCACGTGAAGGTTTCGACAGTTGCTGGTGACCGACTCGAGGATGAACTGGTTCGCGGTAAAGTGAGCCAGCCTCGAGCATGGATGGATCTCGATAAGAGCTCTATAAGCAGAGAGATAATTGTCTTCGCGGATTCTGTAATTCGATTTGAGGTCCAAGAGCGCGTTGTGACCACTGAGGAGCCACTGCAGGCCATGGTACATGTAGTAGGCCACACGCGCGATGGTAGTGCCAGAGCGAGAGACGTGCTTCTTTAGCCTCTGGAGGAGCACCTCCGCCAAGTCATGGCTCTCGTTTGATATCGCCTCCGCAGCTGCAACCAAAAGGTGAATCATGAGCATCCCCTTCTCCTCCTCTTCGCAGCTCCTCGACTCGGTATTTTCGTGCAAGACACTACTCTCACATAACACAGGAGAGCTTTCCATCACTGCAGCTTCCTGCAACTTCTGAGAGGTCTCTGAATGACCACGATCCAAGTCAGCTGATTCGATAACCTCATCCAAGAGAGAGTCATGATCGTGAAATAACTGCTGTTGATGCGGCAACTCGGAATCAGACTGTGAAAGGCACTCCTGAATTCGATTGAGCGCCTCGTCTGATCTGAGCATATCAAGTTCCATGTCCATGAAGTCCATGGATTCCGAAGGGGTCGCAGACACCGGAAAATCGAGGAACAGTTCGTCCAGGTCTTGGATTCCGGCAACGGCGCCGGAATCCACAGAAATTTGGTCTGAGAAAAATGCAGTTGTTTGCATTTGTGGTAGGTCTACATCGTGAAACATGTCAAACCACTCCATTTTGGGAGAATAGCCGCAAAGCATTACATCCCTGGGGAGTCATATTTATACGTGCTAAGGTTATGTATGGTGACGTCATAATTGGAAAGTTTGTTTGGAGTGAGGTGGCGCTCGCCATTCCTCCATTAAAAAAAAAAGGAGTTGGACTGTGAATTCCTTTACAAGAAAAAGCTGCTCTTTCCCCTTATTTTCCTCCTTATTCTCGATATTCTGCGATTTCTTTTTGAATTGGTCCAATCGAAATCAAGCTTAGGATATAATATCATAGTATTGTGTTACTATCCATACACAATACCATTAAAGTCCATAGTAATTGACTTAATAGGGATGGACTCAATGTAGAGGTGACCCAACATAATATCTTAAGCAATGGTTTAAAAAACGGATCGGTGACCCGGATAGGGCTTCCAAAAAATCGATCCGGATCGGCGAATCGGCGATCCGGATCGGGAATCGGGTGAATCGGTCAGAATAAAGCTTAAAAAAAATTCGAAAAAATTATTAAAATTTATTATAAATA